GCCATGATTGGATCGAATTTTGCAAGCATTTCAATAAGTTTCAAAAAGTTTCCGTTGTTTTTGTCGTATAATGTGCTGGTGTGACCCCGAAATGCAAGTGATTGCTGTGCCAAAAATTGAACGCTAGCCATGAGACGTTTCATTACTTGTTTCCAGTGGTCGATTTCCTTATTTAGCTCTCTCTGTTGGTGTGCATCAATTGTTTGGTTTGTTTCTAATCGCATACCGAAATCAATCCATGATTTGAAAGCAGAACGGTGTTTGAAAGAGTTCTCGTGGCCGGCCACAGCACGATTAATATTGGACCAGTCTGAATAGCCACGTTCAGAAGCACAAAATAAATTTGCTTTCCGATTGAATATAGCGCAAACCAAACAATACACTGAATCACTGATTTTTGAGTAAACTAACCAATCACGCTTATAATGTGTGCCATTGATATGATTCACATGAAAAATGCTCTCGTTGAAACTACGACCATTTGTCTTTGGATAAGGTGTGTGTTGATTTGGAATCGGTGGAAATCCTGACTTTACAATTTCTTCGAGAAAAGAATCAGGCAAAACGGATCATGAACGGTTGGCTCAATTGGATTTTCAGTTCCGTATTCCAGTTCGTCGTCACTTTGAACCATACTTGAATTTTCACATTCAACATTTTGACTTTCATTTTCACTATCGCCCAATGAGCCAAACACGTGCAATTATTGTGCATAGTAGATTTATTCCCAAATCGTGCACAATTCTTACACATATTGTGCCCAGAAACAAAATTTTATCTAAATAGGTCCCAAAATTGCACAATTTTTGCACTTTTACTTTTCCGTACACAACGTGTCAAGGGAAAGTATAGGAATTGGTCCCGAAAACTTTTTTCGCAAAATTAGCTTAGATCATCATAAAAACTCATGAAACGCGTAGAAAACCACTTTTTGAGACACTTTTCCGTTCGTGTGCCGTCGTTGTCGTTGTCGTTGGTGTTTGTTAACACGATAACTCAAAAAATAATGGAGATAATCAAAATCTGAAAGTCCCAAAAGTTTTGTATCCGAAAAACTTAGTTTAAGTTCGAAGATGAGCCATTTTCGATTTGACCCTGTGGTACTTGCCCTAAGAAAAACCTCAAAAAATTGACACTTTTGTATTGGAGGTATCTGTAAATCGACTCCGATTGGCTTCAAACTTTCTGAGATTTCATTTTTTGGGAGAAAATTAAGATTGTGGAATACAATCTTTTTGAAATTTTGACTAAAATTACCGATTTTTGGACAATTTTGTATGGGAGGTACCCGTTAATCGATTCTGATTGGCTTCAAACTTTCTGAGGTTTCATTTTTTGGAGAAAAAATAAAATTCTGAAAGTTTCATGTTGATCGCATTTGCAGAAGTTTGGTTTTTGGCCCTCAATTTTTTCCAAGAAAATTTTGACAAAAATTGAGG